AGATGAAAGGGGAAGCCTTTGCCTTTGCCTGTGTCTGTGTAGTTGTATTTCATTTTTTCAAGGCATTGTTTGCCTGTGTTTGTATGTGTGTGTGTGTGTGTGTGTGTGTGTGTGTATGCTGGAATCCTCTCTGAATCCCCTTGGGGAGATAGGGAAGAATATAAATAAAGTGTTGTTGTTGTTGTTATTGTTTTAGATGAGCACCACCTCCAGAGCAGGAGATGAAAGGGGAAGCCTTTGCCTTTGTCTGTGTCTGTGTAGTTGTATTTCATTTTTTCAAGGCATTGTTTGCCTGTGTTTGTGTGTGTGTGTGTGTTTGTGTATGCTGGAATCCTCTCTGAGCCCCCTTGGGGAGATAGGGTGGAATATAAGTAAAGTTTTTGTTGTTGTTTTAGATGAGCACCACCTCCAGAGCAGGAGATGAAAGGGGAAACCTTTGCCTTTGCCTGTGTAGTTGTATTTCATTTTTTCATGTGTGTGTGTGTGTGTGTGTCCGTCCGTGTGTGCGTGCTGGAATCCTCTCTCAGCCCCCTTGGGGAGATAGGGCGGAATATAAATAAAGTGTTGTTGTTGTTGTTGGTGTTGTTGTTGTTGTTATCCATTATGGATTTCCTTCTGTCCACCGACCTATCATTGCAGGCTGAGTGTCCCCTGGGCAACGTCCTTGCAGACTGCCAATTCTCTCACACCAGAAGCGACTTGCAGTTTCTCAAGTCGTTCCTGACACGACAAAAAAAATACAGGCTAGAATCACATTGTTTTTTTAAGCTGCTGCTCCACATTGTTGATTCATGTCCAGCTTGGGGTCTGCTAAAACCCCTCGATACCTTTCTCATGAACTGTTTCCAAGCCATCCTGTATCTGTGAGATCTTCGGTTGGCTTAACCAGTAAACAGATAATGGGATCAAACCATACCACATTCCTTGCATTGGATCAAAATATCTATTGGAAAGCATGAACTGGACCATTGTGATTGTTAACTGCAACATCAACGTATGGTGATCCCATGAATGAGCGACTTCTGTGTCACTCCAACATAGCCTCTCAAAAGACTTGATTTTTCTTCTTATCTGTCCAGCTTTCACAACCATACACCAAAATTAGAAACACACCACGAACCATGCCAATTTTAGTGTTCAGTGATGTATCTTGACACTTTGGGATGGGGGTGGGTCGTTCTGTAGAGCCCCTTCCTTGGGTCCCCCCTCCTCAGTCTCTTTGGGCTTTGAATGAGCCATGACGTGGTCTTCCATGGTGACAACCGTTACAGTGTTTACATGAGTGGTGAAACTACCGAGCTTGAATTTCCCAAAGGGCCTCCAAAATTGAGGAGGGGGATGCTTTTCTAAAGCAAAGGCAAGACCCAAGTTGGAATTGGAAAGCTTCTGTTTTCAGTGAAGAGGGAGACGTTCTGCCCCGTTCCAGACTTTGCTCCCAGAAGTCGTTGGGCTGGAAAATCGTCAGCGCTAAACGGATTGTTTGGCTTGGCACGCCGGTCAGGATGCTGTCTTGTAAACTTAGTAATAGCTGCCCCCCCCCTTTTTAATTTGTTTGACCTTGACTACAATAATTTATTATGCGCCGAGGAGGACTTCCCCCAATGTGCACAGACAAAGAAAGCTTGGCATCGCTCTGCAGACTGTTCAGAAGTCTGTCTGAAAAGTCACTTTGGCTTCTGGACATGCGGAGAAGGCAATCTACATTGCATGCGTAGCAAAGGGAGCCTTCTTGAAAATGTATTTGGTGTTCTGAAAAAAATGGGGACACTTTCCTTGATCTATAGAAGCAACTCTGATTGTGGTCCATCATTATTTCATATACATTCAACTCAACGTTTGGGAACGTGACTATGTCTCCAAAATGTCCCAAGTTGGATGGTCAGAAATACTTAACAGTCTTAACTCTGGGCTGTATTATTATCATACTAGCCGTCCCCTGCCACGCATTGCTGTGGCCCACATAGGGATTCTGTGTGGGAGGTTT